TCAAATACTTTAAGGTAGTTTTTAAATACCTAATAACTATAATACCATAATATTCTATAAAAAAACTAAAATACAATTTAACATATTTACTACCTTATTCTTAGTGCTGTTTTTGGTGTTTTACTCGTAAAGTATATATTATTAAAGCGTTAAAAGTAAACTTTTTTTACTTTTTTAGTGTTCGATATAACTCACGAGTTCTGATCATAAGGTTAGTTTCTCGGACAAAAAAAATTTAAAATTTTTTTTAATAATGATTATTATAAAATATCGTTTTCAAAAAACATATTAATTGTTTATTACATTAAAACACATATAGGTACGCCAAAGCTCAGATTCAGAGGAAAAGGGCCACGGCTTGCAGGGAAAACGCTTGTATGATTTTAAATGATGATATTATATTATACACATATGGCATATACACCGCGACCATAGGTATATATATTATACACACGTCATGTATAGGTTCCTATGTTCAGTGAAGGTTTTGATTATTTGCAAAGTAGCTATTATTGTGAGGACACCTGTCACCAATACGCCATCGGACAATCCATGAATATTCATATATATATATAAACGGTTAAACTAACTTCCCACACCATGTACCTACACGCATATATTGTACTTACAGGCGTTACTATGTGTGTACTGTATAATATTATGCCCGCGCACTCCAGCAGGATAAAGGGTCTCTGGAGAGTGTCCACGTCGAACGTCGTGTTTACATATTATATATTTGAAAACGAAAAAAAAGTGATGAAGTGCTCCCGGGGGTACGATTCGAATACGTTCTTTATGTTATTTTATAATGCAGTGTTTTTTTTTTTTTTTTTTGTAAGCGCTTGTGTATAATGTTATGTGTGTTTATGTGTGTATATATACATATATTATCATTTATATTATATTGTACTGCAGTAGTAGACCGACCGACGACCGCGGAGCCGGTCAATAGAGCTCGTGACCACTCAGTTTTTTGCTTATCGGCGAGAGTACATCGTAATAATAATCTGTCGTTTTCATTATTGTGAGACTACGGATTGATCGATACTATAATAATCGTATTCGCGCGCTCTAAAGTATAAATACATCATTTTTGTATTTTACAACGATAGATGCAATATGCATTATCATTTTTTATGTTTAATGCTGTTGAATGTGATCAATGGTCGTATAAAATAGTCTTGCGCTCGTCTTCGTCTCGACATATTATTATAAAAATAACCGCTTAATAAACTTAATATTATACTCGTAATTTTAATATTTTAATTTATAAGTATTTAATGAGCACTTGAGTCTTAAAAAAATTACTCGAATGTCTTATAACACCACATTTAAAATAAAATATTCTGCGATATATATTATTGTTTAATATTTTGTAATGCAAAAATATATAAAATCTATTTCAACTCTCATATAATAATAGGTAGGTATATTTATACGTATCGGTATTATATATATTTAAATAGAAAGTGATGAAGTATAAAAACTTTAAAGAATATAGTCCATTCATGCATCTACACATCATATGTATAGGTACATAATATCCGTTCATATAGAGCAATAGAGCATATTATTGAAAATGTTGGTCAACGTTTAGGTTGCAAAATAGATATACAGTTAGGTCCATAAAGATGCAATAATATAGATAAATAACATAATATTATGTATGGGTATAACCTATAATAATCATAATAATAGTATCTTTATTCGGTACTCTGTAGGTTTTCCATAATGATTTCAAATTACTTCTTAACGAATAGGTATAATATATATACAATATATTTTATAAAACGTACATCACTAAAAAATGATTCGATAATTTGTAATACGTCCGCAATATTTAGATCATATTATAATAATACATACAAATACTTTTGAAATATTACAAAAATTATGTGTAAGTCAATGATATTGTGTATCGTAAAACTTATAATATTTATTGTCATTCTCTTCGCAAACATGTAATATTTAGGTAAGTATACTAAGTATACATATAATATATATCAGATACCCATAGACAACTTATTATTTATAATAATTTGCTATTAATTGATAAAATATATAACTATTACAATATATAATTACATGCATGTACTTTTAACAAAAATACAACAATTTCATAATGCTCTTCGTACATTGTAGGTAGGTACATAAGAAAAATGCAATAAAATTAGACATTATAAATTAGATACCTATTATTAAAGTAAAAATTGTACACAATTGCAATATAAATAGGCATGATTATGTTAGCAGCGTATAGTAATATCTAGGCGTATATATATATATACGTATGTAGTACCTATAATAAATTGATTGTTGCAACCTTTGAACCTCATACTTCCATCATTCCATAAACATATAATTTATATTTGAGATTATAAGACATTTTTTTAATACTACACCAATAGGTTAATTAACCAGTTATAGTAAAAATAATTTTAATACTTTTTTTTATCGATTACATTCTAATTGAACAGCAGTCTGCATTTTCATTTTCAATAATCGGATATGAATCGTTACGTCACAACTCACAAGTACAAATTTTCATCTTTTATAACTATGTTGAATTTATTCAAGCTACTTTTCTTTACTCGACCTTTATAATAACAATAATAATAATAATATCTTTTGAAACTTTTCCGTATCAATATACATTATTTTCAACCACCTACTGAAATATTGCATATACCAGCTAGTTTGTAAATTTATTTGTAGAATTCAATATTAAATTAGTTTTTATAATCTTAATAGAAATTAAAATCTTTGATACTACGCATTATCTCATATTAAGATAATTGTTTAGTAACTTACATTGGTTATCAAAAATATTGAATTTCTTTCCCAGTGAATAATTATTTAGCATTGAGTTTAAATTTACATGTAGTGTCAATATATACTTATACCTATATGGCAATATGACGATAATAACATTCAGCACCTATAGGTACTGTACATCTGTACAGCATAACATATATATATATATATATATATATATATATATATACTATAGAAAAGTAATATTAACAAACAAATAATTTGATTTGTAAAGATATTATACATTTACAGAAAATCATATATTATCGTATTTATAGGGATACCTATCTACATGAATAATCACGAAAACCATATAATGTATTTTATGATTATACTTCGATAACAACTGTGATAGCTAGATATATTGAATCTTTTTAAAAAATTATAATCACAATTATTTTATCAATAGTGTAATTTCAAACATGATATGAACAATTATTACCTGCCTATAATAATTATTTATCTTGTTTATATCATACAGTAAATATGTACCTATAGGTACACACAAAGGTGACTTATGACAATAATATTTATTGCAAATTCATGCAAGTCATTATTAATTTATAATTTAATTAGATATTTTCATTGAGTGATTTTCAAATACATTTTCATTCAGATGATTATAATTTAATAATTAATGTCTATGCAATGCCATAAATAAATATTTATCAAAAATCAAAATAAATAAAATAATTTTTATTTGTCTATCTATATTGAAAATATTATTAAACAATATATTATTACTTAACCAAAAAATAAATTTATAGTACACTGTAGACAATATAATATTAAGTATGTATATATATAGATTATATAACAAAAACATAACTCTATCGGTATGACGAACGCAAGACCGCTAGCACCTGGTGAAGAGGGGACGTTACAGTACTATAATATACTATATACATGTATACATTTTTAATATATTGAAATTAATTGAACTATGATTTTCGTATTACATAGATATTTTGTATAGTAAGTATACTTACCTGATGACTATAACAATATTATAAAAAATTGATCTTTAATCATATAAAACTAATATAACATACAATAGTTGTACATATATATACCTTTCAGTATATGTTTAAAATATTAAATATTATTCAAACTTTCAATGAACAATATTAATATACACTATATATACCTGCTATATTTATCTAAGAGATTATAATCATTTACTTATAGTAATATAATATAGGTATAGACATTTATGATATTTTTTATAGTCATATACAAAATATATTTTAAATACCAGCTATGCCTATTATTTTGCTAACATGTTAAATTGCAACGTATAATAATTTCTGCGTTTTGAAAGTTACATACTATTATAAATTGCTTGCACTCTACATTATTTATGACTATAAATGCACTCTGGTCATGGCATATGTCTCCACAAATACGTGGGTATACCACACCGTATTACTACTTGATTCGTAGATAATATTAAAAGGTAGGTATAGCAGAAATGTAAAAAATCATCCGTACTCAACCCCTGTCTACGCCTGATGTTGGCGTAATTCACCCCTGAAAAATGTATCTACTTACCCATATTATAGTTAAGATATTATTATTTACATATTATAAATACGTCTTATAATTTAGTAGGGCGACGATCAAACGATACTGTTTGTTTTCCGTAACAGCCGATCGACATAATATAATAATATATTAATCACATTCGTATGTATATTGTATATTATTGTTGTTATTATCATGTAATGTAACATGTTTATGTGCATGCATAAAACATTTGTCACACAGGCGAGTGTTGCTCGGTATACATAGTTATATAACATATTATACCGTACATCATACCATAATGATATAATATGTGCATGCGTACAATATTATAGACCCTTCGTTTTTTTTTTTTTTTTTAATTGTTTATATTATTATAAATTATAATATGCAACGTCGAAGACGAAACAATCGTCCGTTTGCATATAGCAATAATAATAATAATAATAATAATAAAAGTAATAATATTATAACGACGCGTAGTTTGCACACAGGCGCACGCCGAGGGAACTTCGCGCGCGGTACACGCCCAAAAGCGACGCCGTCGACCAATGAGGGCCCGTCGGCCCGACCGGTTTCCGCGTCGCTGGTACATCGCAGGGCGGGGTCGGTGCACGGAGCCGCCGATGCACCGGCTGACCGTGCAGTGTCCGACACACGGGCGGTAGTGTACGTTTTGCGGTCATCGTGCGAGCTCCATCCGCGACGCGCAGTGGTGAATGTTATCGAAACACATACTTGAACATTTCATTTCATTTTATTAAAATTTTTTAAAAGGTTAACTATTCGTTATCGGTTTTCGCGCCATCCGTTAATTTTTTATTTATCGTTTATCCATCGCATTCATTCGGTTTACGACGCCCAAGACGATATCTACGGGAAAATCCACGATGTCCGTGTCCACATTGAACATGACGCCCTACTTCACCGGATACCCGTTTCAAGGTAAAGGAAAACAATATTTTAGACTCGCACTGTATAGCGCCATCTCCACTTCCCACGATGTTGTGACATATTATGTCGTATAATATAATATTCGCTTTACCATTAATTTTAACTACCTATACCTAACCCGATTTAAGCAAGGTTACAACCATCTACCTGTAGCTTGCTCCGCTGACTGTATATTTGACCTGATATTAACGCCCGTGCTAGATATTTCCTTTATTCTATATCCATACCTAACGCGTATAAATCAATATAAGTCTTCTAAACCACTTCGTTTTTTGGCGCGCGTTATAGGCCAGGGCCGCATGAACCAGCTCGGTGGCGTGTTTATCAACGGTCGGCCACTTCCCAACCACATCAGGCTGAAGATTGTCGAAATGGCCGCGGCCGGTGTCCGTCCGTGCGTCATATCCAGACAGCTCCGAGTGTCCCACGGTTGCGTGTCGAAAATCCTTAATCGGTACCAAGAGACCGGAAGCATACGGCCCGGCGTGATCGGCGGTAGCAAGCCTAGAGTGGCCACGCCGGACGTGGAGAGGCGCATCGAAGAGTACAAGAAGGCCAACCCGGCCATGTTCAGCTGGGAGATCCGTGACAAGCTCGTAAAGGTGCGTTTACATTTATATGACTATATATACGTATATAAATATATATAGACACACACACGAAAGTGACTATAACTATAGGGAAAAAGTTCAATAACTGCAGATATATAAATATGATGTAAAACTACATAAAACTACAATTTCAGCGTATTAAATATAATGTCTAATTCTCCATTTATAAACTCTATACATCGTATAAAATCGTAGGTACATCGTCTCTGTTTACATTAAATACCTATATTCCGATAATCTTATAAAAATACAATTTTGAAAATAATAATACTTACAATTCTAAAATGTTGAAAACTTTAAAATTGTTTGTACGTATAAAAATTTTTTATAGCTATAATATTATATAGTGTGCAGATTGTAAATTATCAATAAATGCCATTTTTCTAAAAAAAATCCATATAATTTGAGTATTGGCCATAGGTAAAACGAACGTATAGTGACACAAAAACGTATTATGTAATTGTTTTTCGATATTTCAAGACATATATTTATATATGTTTATTATATATATATATATATTGGTAGACTAGTAGAGGGTAGTTTTTTAAAACAGATTCCAATAAATGATACAACTTGAATCCGTTTCACCGCTTTCTTAATATGTTATCATTTTAACTTAATCAAAGTTTATATTTATTTTCATAATATCGATATCTACTTACGAATATTATATTTTTTACTCAACAATATTATTATAATATTAATATGTATAACGCATGTTAATAGTACTTATAATATAATACGTATATATTATTAATTATATTGGTACACTGACGTTAAAGTCTCTAGAAATAGAATGCACTTGCAATAATATATTTTGATAAAATATTTAAATATATATTTGATAATATAGAGTCTGTAAATGGAGTTGTGACACATATATTAATTGATTTAATTAACAGTAAATAATAGTAAGAATACCTCTATGTATTAATTCGAATTATATTATATGATATAATATAGTATTGAAAACAAAAATAATATTATACAGTTATTTAAATAGTCATGCTTATTTGTTATGCCTTTATGAATATGCATATATATTGCTGCAGTATATTGAGTATTACTGAAAATTTATTTATTTATTGAACTTACACCATGACGATCATTGATATAAGAACAGATTAAAATTAGTAAATTTTCCAACTTAAGACTGTTATGTATGTACTATAAATTAAAAACTAAAACTAAGCAATGAAAACAAGTATAAAATTGTGAGAGAAGTTGTATAGACTAAGCTATAAGTAACATTCTATGCATATTTGATAAAAAATTTGATGGTGGGGTAGTAAAAACCGGGTATGATTTTTAGTGTTGTGGGTATAAGTATACGGAAAGAGATAGAGGAGAATATGAATGGGTCATCCAGAGTTTATTAATAATAATATTCATTTACAGCATATCGATATAGAAAGTAGCAATGATAATAACATACCTAGTAGTTCAGAATAAGATATTTTCTATGTAATAATTATATAAATCTAAATATTTTTAAATAAAAAAATACAGTGTAGGACATAGGTATAGGTACTTTAAAGTAGCAATATGACGTAATAGTCTTATGGTTGCAACCATCATTATATCTCGAGTTAGCATATATTTAACGGTTTAAGTATATTCATAATTTGAATATAAAAGGATTAGATTTAACTAACTTTCACTCTATAGTATTGTGTTGTTTTGTGTAGGTACCTACTATATAAATGTAGACTATTACCTAAATAGTAGCATTTTATAATATATGTAAATGATTCTAATAACGCTTGTAAAATCGACCATAAATAGTAGAATTAAATTGCATTATGTATTGTAATGTTTCGATCATACAATATTTACGTTTAGATATTATAATTAAATAATTCGATTTAAATTTTTTATCATTGCGGTACTATTGTATATTCGTTGATTATAATAGTTTTTAGGCGTACTATATATATAAATATTTTTTCTAATTATCCCAGCAGGACGGCATTTGTGACAAAAACTCGGCCCCATCTATCAGTTCCATCAGCCGACTACTGCGCGGTGGTAGAAGGGACGAGCTGAAAAACCATTCAATCGACGGGATTTTGGGTAAGTCTCAAACGATGATCTAACCTAACCGCGCGTTTACTATTATGTTATGTTTTTGTATGACTTGTACCGGCTCCTATGTATTTATGGCTACATTCTGTATAAAATAGTATATTATATGTGTACATCGCCATACAAACCGCATGCACAGTCGAGTAGGTTTACATACCCACCTACTCACCTATACCTACCCATCTACCTGTGGACATGATGAATGTGTAAATAACGGGTTTTAAAGGGAAGATAGAAAAAAAACTACCCAAATGTCCACCCTCGCCGATTGTTACATCTCAACTCTATCGCCACCGCCGTGCGATGTGCGCGCGTCATATAATTTAAGCGAGTATGCCTACCTACGCTTTTGGCTACTTGGTGGCTACCGGAGGGGATACCGTTAGTCGAAAGGATATAAAAACCATTGTTGGTTATGGGATACGAAAAAAAAAAGAAAGAGAGAAAAAAAAATAAGAAAAGAGGCGAAGAAAGCGGTGAAAGAATAATGCATAATACTATTATATATGCACCTAATGTATATTATTGTGAATAGCGAAGGCGGGTCCGCCTTCACGTGAAGTGCGTGTGAGAATCGCACGGCGGCGACCACCAAGGGTTTTGCTACCACAGGGGTTTTGGTTAACACTTTTCTACAAAAAATCAAATAAAATTCACGGCTGCACAATATTTATCACCTATACGCGGGGTGGTCGAACACGGGCGTTTACGACCTTATAAATACGTATAGGTATATTATTATGCACCGGCTGCGGCTACTACTACGCTGTTTTTATATTATATTATGTATAGGTGTAATAGGTACAGGTACGTCTTGTATACACGTATAGTATGCTATATTATGTGAATTGTTTTTTTTTTCTTAATATAGTTTTAACAAAATATTATCATCGCTATATATTACATTAAAGCGTTATTCGAATTCGTCTAATACAACAATAATGTAATCATAGTACAGTAACTGCTGCAGTTAGATATTATTATAATTGTGTAATGAAAATCGAACGTAAACGACTCGAGTTTTTCGGTAAACGTGACGTTCATAATTTTTTTATACATACGGACATCGGCAGCTTCAGAGAACCCGTCTCCGCGGGGTGTCCCCTAATGTAAAAGGCTTGCCGACACGTAAAACCCGTTTAATTCGCCGTAATTTAAAAATGGATTTTTCTCCTTCAAGTTTGCTGGCTAGCTGCTGGACCGCACACCTTATATTATTATTATTATTATATTTTTTTTTTCACATAGGATTTAATGTCAACTCGCCAACACACTCGCGAGTTATTAGCCCAGTTTAATCGCTACCCACAGCCGCCGCCAAATAGGTATACACGCTTATATCGGATTGTGATGCTGCAGCCACTGCAAACGATGGTTGTTGTAGTTCGGCGTATATTAGTATTATATTATTATAAAGTCTGTTATTCGTAGGTGATGATATTATTTTATTCAAATGCACTATACGGTATATTGTTGTTAATTTCCTTCCGCCACGATAAGCCCGTGAAAAAATGTAAAAAATTACCGTCTCGAACAAAAGGCGTGTCTCGTGACAATTGAAAAAAATAAAAGCTTCACGTTACATTCATTAACATAATGTTATACCGTCTGGAATAAGTAGATATGACCCGCCACAAGATTAAATTATTTTACTTGTTGAAAATAAATACGTGCATTTGTTTGTTATAAACATACTTTTTTTTTCAATCGTTCCATTACGCATAATATTTTCGAATCGTGATTTTTTATTTAAATATTTAATATATAGGCTATAAAATACATACCGTGTATAAATTGTTTTGCTATTTTCGTCCAAACCATAAATAATCTTTGATTGTTATATATCGCATATATTATTAGTTATGACGTGTAGCTATAGCGACCCTGACACCGGTCAAAAATAAAATGTAGGCACCTATAGTATTTTTTTTTTCCGTTGCAAAACACGTGTCAAAAAATAATTTTTAATGCCCGTGTTCAACAGTAGGTACAAATTTGACACTCCATCATAAATCATGAATAACGATCGTAGTAATGATAATCGGTAGTCAATGTTGATTAAACTCTAATAAAGGACCTGAACTGCTATATGGTTAATGAATAATGACACATATAAATACCTAAATATTTATAATAATACTCATTCATAATATTATATAATGTCGTATAATCTGTTGATCTTATAAATGCATAGATGCAAGGTGATCCATAATAATAGAGTATACCTATTGCCTATACTCATATTATTTTAAAACGTTTTGACTATTGTTTGAAAATGTTATATGTGCATAATTCGGTGTACCTAATTATAAAAGAAAATTTAGAAATATAATATATTTTATAATTTCTTATTGTTATTGGTTTTTACTATTTTCAATATATAGCATTCATATTTTTAGTTTTCATACTCTTGAGAATATTTTTTAATTCTATATGAATCAATTATTGAACGAGTAATTAATTATAGTTATAGTTATTTAAATGTTAAATTATCAGAGTAGCCGACCAACGTTTTGTAGATATTTCTTAGCTATAGAACTTCGTAAATAATCCGTTAAAACTTATCAAAAAAATTAACGTTAAAATTTAAATCGATCACGTTGTATACCAACCAAGTATAATATATAAAATTCGGTAAAACTGTATATAATACGGACTGACTATTTCAAAACGTGTTTCAAAAAAAAAAAAAATTAAAAACTAATACAAAACCAGTAATTTTTGTACGATTTTGTTTAGTCGCCTTCATACCACGCATAGTTTAAAATATATTTATACGGTTGTATCTATCGTAGAGTATACCTATCAATGTTCGGCCAAAGCAATTTACGACTGTTTTTATATTAATACGGCTGCACTACAAGACGTACGCTTGCCAAACTAGGTGTACACATCATATATCAACAGCGTTTAACGGTGTTAAAAAACGATACAATCTCTCAAAATAAGAATACTGCAGTGTAGTGAAAAACTCGAATAGAGTTCGGTAAATTTTATCTGCGTTATTTAAATTTTAAAAAATAAATATCATCAAGCAGTCCGTGCCAGTGATCTGAGTTTTAAAAACAATAATAATTCTCCTCACAACGTGCATAGATGTACCTAATAAACATTATACATACACAATGACGGCGATGTTATGACTAAAATCCGTATTTGGAATACTTTATCATCTGTGCGAATATATAATAATATACGCCGTGATTATGCAAAAACCAGCAGAGTGTACAGCATATGCCCAAGATGTGTCCAAGTAGCATAGGCAGATTATTCGTGTTTAGTGAAAGACTTTTAAATGGCTCAAGTTCTAGTAAGGTTTAATTTTTTTATAATAATTAGTCTTACAATATTTATATATTTATAACATTGGAATAAACCTATTGTTGTTTATTATTTATTTATCTATTTACTTAGTATTATAATATTATAGCTAGACTAGTACCTATGTGTGTTTGAAAACGAGTTTGAATACGGGATAAATCAATCGAAACGTATGCGGTCCCGGCTTATATTTTATATATAGCTACAGTCGTTTTAATACAATTTATACTCAGCGCGGTCGATTTGCAATGGCGGCACACGCGTGTACATATACTTAACTAATAATATACATTGCGGTATATCTGAGTCTCAGCGGTTTATTGCCGACCGGACAATATTATATACACATCATACGCACATTTATACGATTTCGAGGATTTAGGGCCGCCCAACACTTGGCGGTATCATTTTTAATAATAGATTCGGTGTTTGAGATTTTTTTCGTTTTTTTTATTTTTATTACCATTAGTATTTAGTATTACAATATCATTATAATATATTTATAGGTATAATATGGGTCGGTATACTCGACATAGGTTATTATGTAAATCGTTCCTGTAGATAAGACGCGCGGCAGAACCGGACTCGGCTTGGGGTTGGGTAATTACTCGAAAACGGGTAAAAGAGAGAATATCCGTATACACACACACACACACACACACAAACATACTGAATATTATGCGTGCACCGATGCGATGGACGCACAAACGTATAGTTTTGCGCCCGGAGCGCATTAGATGAAGTTAAATGATTTCCCGCACGGCGACGCGCGTTCGCGACCATTCCAAAAGCGGGAATAGATAGGTATATCGGTAACAATATAAAAATAGTATAATAATAATTACAATACACTGCTGGCGACGCGTGATTGAACGTACGGTATTTGTTAACACTGTCAAACAGCGAGACGTGAAATCAATCAACTCGTGGGCTTATTATCATTTGCATATAGCATAGCTAGTATACCTACAATATATCATATTATTATATATTAAGGCCGAAAATTTCTCGTATACCTACCAATAATACAAACACGCACAAAATATTATGATAATATTACGTCCTTATAGTTGGTGTGTAACATTGTGTGTACAGGATTTATGGCAATCGTTCATTACATTCATAATTATCATACACGTACTTATAATAATAATACGTATAAATACTGACTGTACCTACCTATAATATGTATTATATGCTTACACACGGTCCAGCGATAAAAAATAAAAATATAAGTATGTATAATATATAAAGTCCTGTCGGTGCCGCGTGACTTAATCGTACATAATATCATTGATTACAAATACTAATATATTAGTATATTAGTAAATACTAGTATTTGTAATCAATGATAATATTATATTCACATTGTGTATTGTAGATAATACTTTAATAGCGCAGATCGTATTAGTCAATAGCCGGTAGGCAATACACACAGGTTCAGCACATTATTTAGAAATTCTGTATGGCGATATATAGGTATCTATAATATCTATATTATTCACAATTTCGACTATTACAGGGTGACTACGATGGGTACGATTACACGAAATGCTCCACAAACACAAAAAGTATACATGCAGATACCATTTGTTCCGAAAATTAAAATCTTATAGTATAAATAATAAATAATAGCAAGTATCTAATTATAAAAGTGAAACAAATAGAAATAATGAATACTACACATGCGGCATTCAACCAAATAATTTTTAATAATATTAGTTACTAAATATTTATTTATTATCTCGTTTTGGCTCTTAAGTATATAGTTGTGTTAACTATTAAATGAAATCGGTGCTAAATTAAATTCTATGCACAATTCTTAATAATCTAAACGTATTTTAGTCTAATAATTATAATATTATATGCGCGTTAATGCTATAATGTGTGTACGGTAATTTAAACAAATCTTTTTCGGTTCTATTCAAAGGTCCTAGCAGCGCTGACGACTCGGACACGGAATCGGAACCGGGTTTCCACTTGAAACGTAAACAGCGTCGAAGCCGGACCACGTTTACGGGCGAGCAGCTTGAAGACTTGGAGCGCGCATTCCATAAGTCCCAGTACCCGGACGTCTATACCAGAGAAGAGCTAGCCCAAAAGTAAGACTTTTTATAAAATTATTTAATATTATATTTATGTTATTAACTTTTATAAATAAAACTAGGATTTTGCTTTTTATAGAAAAATAACTCATTTACGTTTTTTAATTATCTATTACATTCCACTTTGGAGGTTTGCCAAAACAGCTAACTTAAAATTATTTTGATCATTCCATTTCATAATCCAACTTTTGTCTTCCAGCTAAATGTCGATACGTTAATAATCACACACTATATCAATATATCACTACCAAAATATTCAAACAAATGTCTACACTCGCATTCTATTTTTACGAATGGATTTCATCTCTATAACGTATCACTAAACATATTAGTCCTTCTCGTCATCTCCAAAACAATTAGTCAAATATGATTTTCCCTCCGTGTAATCAAAACAACTTAGAGTTGTCGTCAAACCCTAAATGCATGTAATTGAAGTAGTGCCACTCGGTACTCGCCTGTCATTTCTATAACGTGACAATATTTTATTTTTTTTTTTTTACGACTAAATACTTGCTTTTATTTTATATCATGTTAAAACACTGTCCACTTAAATAACAAAAAAATCGACATACACCTATAAAAATAATTTTTTTTAAGTGATTATGATTATCATTTATAAGCATTCAAGGCTTAGACATAAAAAAAGAGGAGTGTACATAATATTATAATAGTGTCGGCAAGGGGAATCCAGCGAAATTCTCGGTACAATCACTCATTATAACACGCATCATACCACGTCTTATATAACCCTGTGTTATTATAAACGAACGGAGGAAAGGGGCACGTAATAAAATAAATCGAATAAGGGGCGTACAGTGATTCGTCGAAACGGTACTCTGGAGGGTATCTATTAGGTACATGTTATTATATACATACGCGTTGCAGTGTGTGCGCGGTGGTAATTGCCGGCTGACTACGCGACGCAGTGAAAGTGAATATCATAACCGCCGCCGCCACCGCGACTATCTCACGATCGGCCCTCTGTATACGCGACCGACTGTACAATATGACTACGACGTAATGTCACAAAGATCACGGCGTGCGATCGAGGTCTTTCCAGGGTTTTCGGCGTTCGTGAAAACTTTTAAGTCGCAGTTTCGCAGATAGGCACAGACCTTTCATCCGAGTCGTGTTTTTCCGGTGTTGAAAAACGTGTCGTTGATTATGTTTTTTTTTTCACTGCTTTCATTAATGATGATGATTATTATTACGCATACGTCGTTCGGACATAATGCTGCAGAGACGAGAGGAGGTCAGTGACGTTCGTGCCTAACCTAGACTGGGACTTTATTATATCGTGTGAATTTCCGACGGAACCGTCTCTCCGAGAACTGCTGCTACGACTCAACGTACAACGTTGTATAGTTTCAGCGATATATTATATCATGTATTTCCGGCAATACGCGATGACGGACGATTATATTATTACATTGATACTTCTGCATAGTACAATCTAATAGTTATTTATTTACCGGTATTTAACCGCGGTTGTGTTTTGTTTTTTGTCTCCAGAACCAAATTGACCGAGGCCAGAGTGCAAGTGTGGTTCAGTAATCGTCGGGCTCGTCTCCGGAAGCAAATGGGCACGCACCAGCACATGAACGCTGCGGCTGCGGTAGCGTTCAACCCGGCTGCGGCGGTCGTAAGCCTTTCGGCCGGCTCGTTCCAGTCCGCGCCCGGCGGCCAACACGGAGCTCACGGCCAGTACAGCGGCCACGACCATCACTCGACCGCCGCCGCGTCAAACTTCAATTCTCCCCAAGGTAAGCACACTGAGCGGGATTTACTCTTCCTCGGTGGTATTATACATAGTATATTATTAAGTATAGAGCTCGACGACATCGCTGTTGCGTTTGCGAATTTTTTTGAAATTAAATCGAGCGTATGCGTAAAATAACTAAATCGAATCACTTTTCAACCGATACATAGAACGTCTTTAATGCATACATTTAGTGATCAACATTTTTGAAAATTATTGATTTTAATCGTTATAGTGGTTCTGTATCACGATAACGTTCACGACTGTGAACTGTAATATATCTCATTACACTCTACGGCCGCATATATTTATCTTGTTAACAAATTATTGTATATATTATGCGTGATGCCGTGTTGATATATAGGTAGTGTTGAAGTTGCATTTAAGTCGTATAATATAACTTATAATGTAGAAAAATGTAAAATAAATGTTGTCATTAATTTGAATTATACGTGTTAAGACGCAATATGCAAATCCAAGAACGAAAGCAAACAAATAGGTGTGCTGCAATAATTTTGTTAAACGCGATGTGCAGCAATGCATATCACTGCGCGTTTAGTTTATATTTAGAGCGACAAAAAGTTCGAGCCCTGAACGTCTATAGTGTGCGCGCGCACACGCACACACGCACACATATACTCGGGTATAATATAACACGAGTACCTATATTAAATTATATACATATACATAGACGGCAATACACTGCGCGGGCGCGAGCGGCCATCACGAAAATTACACGGTGCGCGACGATTAATACACACCGCGGTAATGTTTTAATGGCTATAATATTATATATTTTATACTCTTTGAAGTTTGGCCGTAATTTCGAGGTGTACCGCCGCCGCCGCCGCCGCCGCAGTAATAATAACCGTGTTCGGGGCTAGCGCGAGAGGTGAACTCGCGATCACATGTATAGGTATACGATATATATTATTATTGTACATACAGTACGACCGAACACGAATCGGGCCGGAAATTATACAAATCCGTCCGGGCACGTATACGCATTTATACATATAGGTGGGTATTATACACATAATACGCATATGCGCACACACGCGGGGACGCTCGTCGTGAGTACGATTTTTATTTCTCGTTTAATTCGCCGCGTGTATATACGTACGAATCGAAATCGCGTACCTATACCTACGTGTTTTTTTTTTTTTTTACGTTACGCGCAAATACAACGTCAATCGCCTATACATACAATAACAATATAATATATACGCGTTGTGCGCCACGTCTATATAAATACCCGTCGGTCTTAAACGCTCGCTCTGCTACAATAATAGTAATAGTAACATCATATAAAACGATAAAACATAATATGCACGACGAGCGGCCATCATCGCGTCCGTTCATGTCATATTGAAAAGTATCGCGCAGGCATTAGGGAGAGGGGCCGGATGAGAAAAAACGTTACACATAGTGTGCGAATTCAGAGTGACGATTTCATTTTTACGCTCCCCTAGTCGTCACCTATATAACGCGCTGTCAGACTCCGATTCATCGGCCATTTGCCGCACAAAATCCCCCCCCCCCTTCGCCGCAGAGATTTTACCCCACTGATTTTTTTTCTTTTTGTCTTCGCAGGGACTTCCCACGGCACGTGGCCCACCGCCGCCGCCGCCACTGGATACTATCCGTCGACGACCTGCAACTACGGCAGTGGCGTGAACGGTGGCACACCCGTCGACGCGATGTACCATCATCCGCACCACGCGCATCATCAGAACAACAACAACAACAACAACAACAACAGCAACAACAACAACGGCGGCGCGTCGTATTCGCCACAGGGTCCGGCGGTCGACCATCACTCGCTGGCATGGACAAAGCCAAACAAGGACGTAACGGCTGTCGCCTCCACTTGGAGTCCTGACAATTACTCGTGAGTACCTATACGTACAACATATCATCGTAATACTTATATCACAATGTATGAGAACGAAAAAAAGAAAATCTTTTTTATTTGTCAAGTATATCTGCAGCAATGCGGTTATTTATAGCAAAACCGATATAATTAGTGTTGTCGTGACTTGTGGACTTACATACGACAGTAATGACTGGAAAGTCTAGTAGTAGTAGGGCATATATATTTTCAAAATTCTTGGGGCAAAAATGAAAGTGTAAGAAACTATTAATTACAAACTCATAGAATACAATGTATCTATTCGTAACGTTACCAACGCCACACAAATGCATAATTAAGATCAATATTATGAATACCTGAATTATTATCAAATGGGAATATAACATCGATTTTACTTGAAAGCTAATCGAAAAATTAACGTTTACCCGTACAAAACTTTATTTATTCTGCTTCATTTTATCACATATTTTTCAGCGACATTGCTCTCACATTATATTATCACTTTTTCTAATTTTTTTTCGGATTAATTTATTAGTTAGAAATGTTAGAATTGTTAGCTACAACTCAAGTATTTAAAAAAAATTATAAATAATTACTTATATAAGTGCTCAATGGCAAAGAAATTATAAAGCAATAAATATTTAAATTTTTTTCCCTCTATCTTGTTAAAATACATTATATTATTAAGTTGGGACTGTGATCTCATTCGTTTCACCCATCGAACTGTCACTGATAAATAGTAATGATGGTCGGGGTATAGTGGATATATATTATATATATAATAAGACTGCGTGCACTAAATCATGTAGCGAGTAAAATGTGTTATCCACAAAATATCTAATCAGACTTAAGCTGTGTTTTGACTTGTATAATGATAGAATATTATGAGGTGTACAACGAGGGTCGGAAACAATTACAGCGTCTATTGCCGCGGCAAAATAGATTAAGTATACAGTAGAATAATTACATTACTAAACTTAAATAAAACAATTTTTAATTAGATTACGCGTGATTTGTTTCGTTTTTTTCCCTTTTTTACAACTCTTCTTAACCACCGTCATTGCCACCGCCGCCACCGCCATCGCCGCCGCCGTGCGTGAGTAATGGTCAGAAATTAATATGGTTTTGCCGGAGAAATTACTGACCGCCGCCGCGTATGCAATGGATTAAAGCCGATAAATCAAGCTAATGAAATTTTTTTCTTTCCCGCGTGTAGACGTACTGCAGGTACGGCGCGCGCGTATATCGTATACAAAATATTATATTTTCCCTCATTTCGATCGGTCAGTTGAAAAGCACTTGTCATTAGATTCCGTGTGTATTATTACCACCCATGCTGCAGCAGTCGGTATGTTGCAGCGGCAGTCTCCCGGGTAACCGGTGACTTTTACAAATCGACTATATTATATTACATTATTATATATATATACGCGTGTGCTTATACGCCGAGCGTTGGAATAATAATAATGACCACCGCCGAGTATATATGTATGTGTATAATTCATAAGAACGAAAAAAAATAAAAATTATCTCTTTCAGAAGCCCTCCGGTTCGCATTCATTACGCCGCGCGGCGGTGATGTTGTCCTGCAGTCTATAACGCACAGGTATATAGGTACTTACCTTCGTGTAATATATAATAATATTATATTGTGCAGCGAAGCGCACTGATTTTTCGATTTGTTTACGTCTGACGAGAAAATAATAATTTTTTGCGACGTTGACGACGTTATCTGGGTGTTTACTGATATAATATATTACAATATAATGCAGAAACGCGCGATGATATAGCGATCTTTGGCATTCGTGATATTGTAATATCGACGTCTCATTTGAGGCTTTACTACCAAATCGTTTAGTTTTGAGTTTGCACAAAAAATATAAATAAACATTTTGGCGTCCATAATTTACATTGTTCGTGAAAAGTATAGTGCGAGCAAGACTTATTTGCAAAAACTTTATATACCTATATTTATATTTAATTTATAGAATATTAATTGAATATTATATCAATGCTTAAAATGTTATTACGTTATAACTTTGATTGTTATTACTCATAAAATGTCCACTCTACAAATAATGGTTTAGATCACCAAAAATGATTATTTCACTTAAACTATTTAACATTATACTATCCTATGCCTCTGCTAATACATAGTTATTAATAAGATGACTATTAGTCTTATTATTTGCATTATTTTTGCTATCATATTATATGGATGAGTGATGACACGTCGACATCTGAGCTTCGGATTTCAGAGTGTAATTTCGTGTTTTATTTCGCAGGTTCTTCGCCGGCAGCAACACTTTATACGGGTCTGGTACAAATTTGGCTCCGCACTCGGCCAGCGAAGCTAAGTCTGGTTATCCGTACTTCGGTCAACTGTCCCAAATGGACGCCATGTGCGGCAGGGTACATTAATTGCATTAACGTCAGCGGTGACGGCGATTATGACATCGTCGGGAGACACGTCGTGCCGTTTAGAACTCGACCTCTTTCATTTCTTCTAATCCCGTAGGTTCTATCATATTTATATTATTGCTCTGTTTATTTTAGACGCGCCCGATCCGCGGTGATATAAACTGCGCAAGAACATGCTAGGATTTATTATAATATAATATATCAATTATTTTATTGTGTATTTTTGTATATTAAGCTACTACCTACTACTACTATTATTATTATTAGCAAATATTGTAATTATTATTTTATTGTATACAAAAATAACCTTTAACGATAAATCAAAATTTAACCCGTATATATGCATTGTATTATATTAAAATTTTACATTAAATATTTTTTTTTGTTTAAAAGGCGCATGGTGCCTTTTTACGGTGCCATTCGTATTGTGCATATTATTTTTTTAATTATAAAGAGTAAAAAATAGTTTAAAAACATTGTACTTACATTATTTTTGTATATTTTAATATTGAATGAAAAATACTTCGAGTGTTATAAATATACCTACATAATATATCATACACCCTATGTATATATAAATATAATTTTATTATGTACATTATACCATACACTAATAAATCGTTGTCGATACGTGTTTATGATACATATAAGTTTTTGTTCCATTATTTCCATTATTGCGTAGTGTGTAATGCGCGTATTGTTGTTTGCTGTACATTTATCGAGACGACGACCGAAACTGACCCCTCGCCGCCAACGCATTCTGTCGTCGACGGATCCTCCTCATCCGGCCGACGACACGTGTTTTATAACACTGCCGTGTACTTAAGTGGACGAGCCGTTTTTGAAAAGGTTACGCGAACTAAAGCGGTCCGAATTTAAGTAGCTTTATTGCGTCCTAAAATATATGTGTTCCCAATTGCGTCCAGACACATATTGGATCCCAAAATAACGTAAATATACGTAAAAATAAAACAGGTATAATTTTTTTACACATCATTACATAAGTATTAAATTTTGTAGTTATACCTATATCAATAAGATCATCTCGTAAAAATTATAATTCGTTAATATCTAAAAATGCATTTCTCATGGAGCAAATCAATAACATATTTTAATGTTTCAATGGTATTTATATTATACATAGAGTAAAATTAGTAAAATACATTACATATTATGTGATATACTATAAAATAAACGTAGTGAAATTAAAAAACAACATAAAAAATTGAAAAAAAATCATCATGTTATAGGTTGATTTTTTAATCATAATTAAACAGTTAAAATCGTCTTTATCATCTTTAATGAAATATATAGTATCGTTTGCATCGAACACTTGTATGTTGTGTGAACGCACCTTATTATATTTACATTAAAATATGTGAGACACAATCGGTTTGTTTATTTAGTTTTAAAATAATCACCGAAACAATACTTCCTAAACCTGTTTGGCATGAGCGCGACAAAAGATGAAAAAGGAAAAAAGGTCACTTTTAATTTGTAATTGAGTGACACCTGTCCAAAACATGTTCAACATATTATGATACCATATAATAGGAATAAAATATTATTCTTATCCGATTATGTCTCTCAGCAGCTGATGTGAAATCATATTTCCAATTATGCGGATGACGTTCACGTGCAGCGTTATCTTATGTAGCTGACGATATTATCATACTTCAGGCTAAGATAAAAATGCACCCGGGACATATAAGGTATTGTCAGAATTGCACTCTTTCCTATCATTACATATATAACCCCTATTTATTAACAAACATCGGCAAAACAAATAATTTGTATTTTTCAATGTTAACTTAAGTCCATTGTTTTTGATCACAATAATTATTGTAATTAAATAATAAAGCTAGGTACCTTCTGTTTAAAAATAATAATATAAAAACAAGTTTTAAAAAAAAATGCATAAACATCGACGACTCGAATACTACAAAATAGATACAATTTAAAAATCATAATAACCTATATGTAGATTTATGACTGCAAAGTTCACGTACATTGTAGTGACAATGAGAAAATAGTGTCGAAAATAAACCCAAGTGCAGTGTGGCCCGCGCTCGACGATATGATATGATGAATTATGTTCGACTTAATCGCCCGTGGAAACACACGAATAGGTGTTGTATTATTTTTTCCGATATCGAATATATCATCAGACTTCATAAGAATATAGGGGCATACGTAAACTGCGCCCGAAATTCTATCTATGTTAAAAAGGTGTAATGTAAGCTGCGCCCCGTTTGTAAAATATACAAAACTTTTGACTTATTAAAGTCTCTACGATTGTGTACTTTTTCAATTATATCACAGACATTTTATTTTTGTCTAAAAATACCAAAACGTTATCAAATAACTATTGCATTTTAAAACAAAACAAAAAAAACGTGAAAAGTTACAAAATATAATAGTGGTCAAACTACAATTGATAAATGAGTAACACTATGGGGCGTATATCGATTCCGTCGAATTTATATCGATTCCACTGGCTATTGAATCCGCCGGCTACTGTTTATAATATTTGCATATTTATTCCACCAGCTATTGTTTATTCTTCCCTTATAAATGTATTATACATAATTCGGAAACTTTCGGAAAGTTACTACATCTAGCCAACGTTTGATCACATTGTTCGCATTAAGATTAAATACTAAAATTAATAGCTATTGTTATTTTTTTCATAAAAATTAAAAATTTTATAATACTTTAAAATAAATAGAAATTAAATAATATTTATTGTTGATTAATTTTGTCATAACAATAAAAATATTTCTATAATTAAATACTTTAAATTTTTTATTTATTTATTTATAGGAGACGCAATTAGTTTTTTTATTTTTAGGGTAACGTAAACTAAAAAGTTTGGGAATCGCTGCAATATATTTTAAATGCATGTACAATGGAGGGGGATAAACAGTGTCCAGCGGAATCGATGTGTAAATATTATTAACAGTTGTCGACAAAATTAATAGCCGGCGGAATCGATACAAAACTTTTTCCTAAATAATCAATAATTTCCCGTAATATGTTATTATTTGTAATATTTGTAATTATTTTACTTTTTAAAATCATATAATTTTTTTTTAATTTTTAATTTTAATTATTCATATTAATAATATATGGTTGTAATTAAGTATACATTAAAAATAATTTTGCAAAAATATAGCTATTGATTTTTAAAATTTTACTCGGGCGCAATTTACATGTCAATTTTTTTAAACTCGATAAAAACTCGAGCGCAGTTTACACGTGTGGTTTTAGGTATACCTGTATTTTGGGCGCAGTTTACAATCGCCAGAATATAGTCCGTAAAACATTGGTCGATTGGTCGACCGCATTTTGTTTTCCGGTGATTTTAGTTTAACCTTTAAACAACTATTTGATTTTGAATTTTGTACTACCTTATATAAATGTAAGTACAGTATTTCTTAGAAATTTAAGAAAGTTCAAAAAATAGTTATAGCTTAAATTATAAAAAGTTATAGGTATACATAATTATATTATGTAATTATTCATTAATGAGATATATTACTATTTAATCGTCAATAAAATTTATCACTCTTAAATAAATCTCAAATAAAACAACTGTACCTTTATTCAGTATATTGAATAAAATAAACATAACCTTATAAGTTATAATATTTTAAATCTAAATAACTTTTTAAATATACCTAACTATCTATTAAACAGACAAATTTTTATGTTTATAAAATGCCACTACAGATATAATGTGTATTTCATAATTAAAAAAAAGAAATAGTTATTTAAGTTATATATAATTAACTATATTGTTAAAAATTGACAGTAAGTATAAAGTTCAATATTTATCTTTGAAAATAATCGTGTTTTGTCATAATTGTATTTATTTATATTAAAAAAGATTATTAAGTATAGCTGCAATGATAGTCGCATTATTTAATTGTGACTGGGTAATAAAATGTAAAAAAATATTGTTTGTATTATCAAAATCAAAGATGATTTCCGATTACCAATGTCTATACATTTTTGATCATTGCCGATGAAAAACGAGGCGTCATTGATATTATTATGTATAACTATATAAGTATACTTATATAAGGTATACCTTAGACTTGTAGGGGTCTGATAGTTGTTCACTGATTGATGGTAAGTGAATACGAATATCGGTATTTTGTAAACACGAAATATATGATAATAAAAAACTATGATATTATTCTTTCCATAAAAAATATATTTTTAGTTAACCCGTGGTTCAAGTATTTTATACGCAGAATACCTTTAAGGAATACGTTGTTTCGGTAACGCAAGAATTTAAGTGTCAACAATTAAATAAAAATAAATGGCACAGCAGTAGTAATAATATTCAATTCTAATTATATTTATAAGCATTTTAATGATGCGATGAAACAAGAAATATTAGAAGCAGGTGCCTATATACTTAGACTCTAAATTAGTGCTCTCTATTATTAAATTTAAAATTTACAAAAGATTTTCATTTTTTTATACCAAACTGTAGCATTTGCTATAGCCGCTTCCCCGCATTTTAAATATGATCGTGAAGGTATAAAAAAATGTTAGTTAAAGATGCATACACTCCGGAATGACGGTGGTTCAGCATGCAGTTCCGTTTTCATCACGTAGCCCGCTGTTCATTATACCCATACCTGCAGTGCAGCACACCAGGCGCGAAATCGCGTCTGTGGCGACGACAAAATGACCACGGGGTAGTACTTTTTTTTTTTGTTCGATCGAGTTGTTTTTCCGGCACTGCACACGTACTCGGAGCACGTACGCACTGCAATATCAGTTTCGTTGCTGCGTCACTTTCAGAAACGGGTTGACACGCGTATCTCCCTTCACGTCGTGTTATGTTTTTTTAATTTAATACAATATTTTACTGTTCGTATTGTCTTAAAAACACTATCGGTGCTCTCTCCTCTCCCCTTAACACATGACGTGTTATTGAATGCACATAATATATAATAATATCGTTCCGTCGTCTGTACTATATCATATACGTACAGTACCCGTCGACGATTTTTATTGTTTCCAAACGTAATCGATTCCGGCCGTAACGACTATTTTGTTTTTGTTAAAGTCAGTCCACCCCGTGCACATGCCGAGCGACGGTCAACCCGATCGCGAGTGCGCGGCAACAGCGTTCGTTCATATTATTATTATTATTAGTTATTAGTTATTATGTACAACGAAAAGTATGTAGGTATAGGTATTATAATATAACGACACGCAGTGTATACATTACGAGCA